CCCCAAAACCCCAAAACCCCAAAACCCCATCTCTTTCATCAGCCATTGAGTTATAGTAATTATTCAGCATCTAAAAATGAATGCATGTGGCAACTGTTATGAATGAGGGGTCATCATTGGGCCCATGACTGGCTGGTGCCAGACTCATGCCTACCAGAAGTTCATGAGCCATTATCTTAATGCTCTCAAAGAAGGGATCCAAGATTGGAAATCAATGATTGAAGAGCACAAGGCCGGTAAGTGTCAGACTTGGTGTTGGGTGGTTTAGCAATACGAATTATTTAACCTAAAGATTTCGAAAACGCATTTTCTTAACAATGCTAGTAACAGCCAAAGTTAGCGTTCAACAATATTATCTTGCTTTCATCCCTTCTATGTCTATTCTGAGGTTAAGCTAAAGCTGTTCTAGGAAAGATTTACAAAGATGTAAGAAAGACTGAGCAGTGATTGTTCAGAAATGAAGATGCTCTTGCTAAAATTATCTTCGTCAATACATATGAATGGGCATTCCATGGGGGTGCTTACAATACAACAGTGCTTATAGATATAAACCAGTCAGGTAATAATTACCAGAGATGACACATCCCTAAATTCAAGTCGTTAATGCTCCCAAAAATTGTCAGATTTGTCATTGAAAAAGACTTACATATGTGTAGGAAGAGGTATGCACAGTACTTATCTCTCAGCAAAAAGGATATATCTCATTTAGAGGTCGTCTCAAAGAGAGAGGATGAAAAGCTAGGATGGTGCTTGCCTCTCATCCTGAGAAATACATATGGCTTGTCGTATTTAAAGATCTCTGGGTTCACAATCTCAGTATTGGAGTTAAAGCGTATTCTTTACCCTTCAGGGCTACCTTTATCATTGGAATTGAACAATTGTAAGATAGTTCAGATTGGTAAACCCTACCTCCCTTCTTACAAATCTGATGATTCAAGCAAGATAAATAAACTTTACTGAGTATCTCTCACCCAATGTGCTCTTAAAAGTAAGTGCCCACCCTCATCCATAGTTGATGAAGAAGACCTTGTCAAATTGGTGACAGAATTATCTCCGAAAATTAAGCTACACATCATGAGTTAATCAGGGTTCAATTTAATTATGGTAATGTGGGGTTTTGGGGTTTTGGGGTTTTGGGG